TTTTAATATTTATTTTTTAGTTCTCGGCGGACACAACATCTTTGTTGGTATGTGGTGCTGAGGATCGAATCCGGGCCGCACGCATGCCAGGCGAGTGCGCTACCACTTGAGCCACATCCCCAGCCCGGTGATACATACGTCTTTCCTAAATTTTGAAAACTAATGAGAAGTTGCAAAATGTTGCAAAGCCCATACATACATTTTCACCTAAGTTCACTGATGATTAACATTTTGCCCCATTTTCTTTCTCCCTCCTTCCTTTTCTCCATGTTGCAGAAATTTAAACCCTCTCCTCAAATATTTTAGTGTTTAAGTGATTCTTGTGTTGATGTGGGATTGGTTCCAGGGCCTGACAGATACCAAATATACATATGCTCAAGTCCCATCTATAAAATGCATAGTATTTGCAGATAACTTAAGAGATTCTACTATAGACTTTAAGTGGTCTCTAGCTTATTCATAACCCCCAATACGATGTAAATGCTATGTAAATCATTGTATTATTTGGGAATAATGACAAGGAAAAAAGGTCTGAACAGTTTCAATACAGATACTACGTTTTACAAATTGCAAATATTCTCAGTCCATAGTTGCTGAATCCTCATTTATAGAACTAGAGGTACAGAGGCTGACTGTGTGGTAACAGGCCTTCCCCACCAGAAGCACACTGTTTGTACAACCCTGTTATCTCCAGTGGCATGCATGTTCAAATGTCCCCAGCCATTCCATATAATGCTGCTTTATAGTTTTTGTTTGTTTTAATCCAAGATACAATGTGGGATTTTGGACTGCATGTAGTTGTCATCGATCTCTCTAAGTATTTTTTTTTAGTTGTAGATGAACACAATACCTTTATTTTATTTATTTGTTTTTATGTGGTGCTGAGGATCAAACCCAGGGCCTCACACGTGCTAGGCAAGTGCTCCACCACTGAGCCCCAGCCCCAGCCCCTGTAGTTGTCATATCTTTTTAATCCATTTTCATCTAGATTAGTCGATAATGACCTTTCTTTTGAAGACTCCAGTTCATTATTTTGTAGTGTTTCCCCCAATTTGGATTGGTCTGATTTTCTTATAACTAAATTTATTTCAATATTTTTGGCAAGAATACTACATTGGTGATGAATTCCTCATTGCTTTCAATACAGCTTTGTTSTCTATACTTGGCTGCTCGAGGAATGACATTTACAGGGGAAGGAAGAAAGAGAAGAAACAAACTACAGGAGCTACTCAGAGCCTTCCAGGAAACGCAAACCCTTCTACAGAAGAGGGGTCCTCTTTGATCTAAGGGAATACCTTTGAGAGAGGCTGGGTGATAATGTAGGAACCTAGTCAACAGATGGGTCTAATTCTGAGGAGAACTGCACCCCACTCTCATCTGAAGTCCAGGTGACCCTGTTGGTCCTGAAACAGCCTCATTCTAGAAGGAGTGGGCAAGTAGCTCCCTCTAGTGGCTCAAAGGTTGCTTAGCCAATTTACTCAGAATCAAACAAGCAAACCAAAGGCTTTTTAAACTTTTAAATGCATTTTAGAGCTAAACAAAGAGACATTAGGAAGCAGCAATGCTCAATATTTCCCTTCTGGTAAACACCAGGTTTACTAAAAATCACAAATATTAGCATTTTGTAAACTAGAGATTTCCACTTTGGAAACTGACTAAAAATAGATATTCACCTGCTCTGGATTAATTCTCAAACCCCATTCTCCCCCCGAGTCTTTCATTGTCTTTCAAAATGGCTTGGTTTATAATCATTTGACCCTCTAATTCCTATTTCACTAGCACAGGTTATCCTAATTTGATTGAGTAGTGAAATCAAGAAACTAAGAGACATTTTCCAAATCCATGAATACGTGTGTGTGTGTGTGTGTGTGTGTGTGTGTGTGTGTTCAGTTCTTTGGACTCAAATTCCCCTCTCAGGAAAGTGGAGGTGAAGCAACGCAAGGCTTCATCAGCAATTTTCAGCTCTTAAATTTTATGACTGTAAAATTCAGCAGGGAGAAGACTTCCTGATAACTTGGTAAAAGATAGCCCTGCAGTGGAAAAACAGAAAACATTCTGTTCTAATCTGGGAAGAGCCCCAGAGGTGTAAATCGAACATAAAGCAAGATCACATCGAGTATGGTAGCATGGGTCTGTAGTCCCAGGGATTTGGGAGGCTGAGGCAGGAGGATCACTGAGCCCAGAAGACTAGGCCAAACTGGGAAATGTTGCAAGATTAAATATTTTTTTTAATTTTTTTTTTTAAAGAAAGAGTGAGAGAGGAGAGAGAGAGAGAATTTTCAATATTTATTTTTCAGTTCTCGGCGGACACAACATCTTTGTTGGTATGTGGTGCTGAGGATCGAACCCGGGCTGCACGCATGCCAGGCGAGCACGCTACCACATCCCCAGCCCGCAAGATTAAATATTAAAAAAAAAAAAAATTAAGGTGGCAAATACTTTTGTGTTAAAAAGGGAGTTTTGAAAATATGCATTTTTATTTGCTTAGGTTTATATTTGTAAACTCCATCTCCTGGCCTCTGGGCACTCACCAGCTCCATGCACCTGGACCAAAGGCTTCCTATGACCAGCACCTACAACTCTGTCTGCAGGCTTTCTATGATCCCAGTCCATTAAGAAACTGATAAAGAGGGCTGGAGATGTGGCTCAGCAGTAGCGCGCTCGCCTGGCATGCGTGCGGCCCAGGTTCGATCCTCAGCACCACATACCAACAAAGATGTTGTGTCTGCCGAGAACTAAAAAATAAATATTAAAAAAATTCTCTCTCTCTCTCTCTCTCCTCTTTCTCACTCTCTCTTTAAAAAAAAAAAAAAAAAAAAGAAACTGATAAAGAAAACAATCCCTGTGGAGCTTGGGAGTGAGTGGGTAGGGAGCAGAAGTGTGCCTCTCACCATATACCTATTTAGACTTAACAATGCTTGCATTCAGAGATAATCCTATTCAAAATCACATTTCTAATAAACCACACAATTCTTCTCAGAATCACAGGTAACTTTTTTTTTTTTTTTTTGGCGTGTGTGGGCGTACTAGGGATTGAACTCAGGGGCACTGGACCACTGAGCTGCATCCCCAGCCCTATTTTGTATTTTATTTAGAGACAGGCTCTCACTGAGTTGCTTAGCATCTCACTGTTGCTGAGGCTGTCTTTGAACTTGCCATTCTCTTGCCTCAACCTCCTGAGCTGCTGGGATTACAGGCATGTGCCACCACACCTGGCTTTGTATTTACTAATAAAGAAAAATTATTTCAGATTTTCTCAATCAGCTTGCAAAATTGGGAGTAAGAAAGGAACACAGGGAAAGTCACAATGCCAGAGCAGACACCATCCTGCAGGTCCTCCAGACAAGCCAGGTGTGGGCACATCCTTGGGGAGGAGATTCACTGAAAAGCCTTTGGGGACTTGTGACATTTTGTCCATGAGGGTTGAAGATCATGTGATCTGGATCCCAAGAGCATTGTGGTCTGTCATACAATTCTTTGAAAGCCAAAATGTTCAAGGAAGGAGCCAGACACTTGAGAAATTAGGACAATCTTCAATCTCCCTTCCCCCACTCCCTTACAAAGAAACAGCAGAGTCTGGGAATGTAGCTCAGTGATAGAGAGCTTGCCAGCATGTGGGAAGCTCTTGGTTCAATTCCCAGCACCACCAAAAAAAAAAAAAAAAAAAAAAAGGAAGAAAAAAAGAGAAAAGAAATAGCAGCTCTGGGTAATTGCTGGGGGCCAGTCCAGAGGGCTCATGGCTTATTCCCTCCTAAGGAACACAACCTGACAGTCCATCCCCTGGACTTACCATGAGGCTTCATTATGGGCAGTAATTCAGTGCAGACATTTCTAGTAGCAAAAAAGTTTGTCCTCAGGGTCATCTCTGCTTGAATGTCGAAGGGTGTTGGATCATCCACTTTCAAAAAGACAAAGAAACAAAGAAAAAGTCACCCCCCCATACACACTCATGAGAACATGGATTCTATTGCCTAACAACTAATTAAAAGAGAAGCTAATTTTTAAAATCTCTAGTGGTTGGTTCTCAAACTTCAGTGTGCATGGGAATCCCCTGCAGGGCCTGTGAAAACAKCTTTTGGGGCCACACCCAGGGAGTCTCTCATTGGTAATGCTGCAGCTTCTGGGCTTCCCGCCCCACTTCCAGACCCCTGGCTTTGCTGCTGCTTCTCAAACTTGATAGGCACAGGAGATACCTGGGATTTGTGTTAAAATGCAGATTTTGATTCAGCAGGTGTGGAGCCTGGGCACCCAGTTTGCCCCCAGGTTTGCGGGTACCGCCCATAAGGGCTATATCTAGACCTCTTGTCTAGGAAGCCGGGTTTTTATTCACCAATCCCTCAGCCAACGGCGGCAGTCTACTATCGAGGCTGTCAATTCCCGGTTCGCAGCTCCCCAAAGCCTAGAGGCCACTTGGGTCCGTGGCAGAGCAAGAGTGCGTGCCCAGGGCCAAAGGCAGAGCTACTTCTGCACAATCGGTTCTTTGCCTCTTCCTGTCTCAGGCTTCTCTTCCCCCCTCGGTTGTAAGTAAAGCTGGCCTGTTTCTTTATACTCCTGGATCATGGCAACTCAGTAACTTTCTTCATTGACAAATTGCTGGAATAAATAATTTCCTTGATTTCTTCCCCTAAAGGAAGATGCTTCTTAAAAGCCACATTTGCATTTTTTATAACAAACATTAGCTCCCTGGGGGCGGGAACCAGGCTCGCTTCCCTTTGGCCAGAGCCTATCAAAGCTCTCCATTAAACAAACTATGAAATCCACTAATGTGCAAGTGCGCGTTAATTGTGTCTTAGCGACTCATTTCCTGTCCTGGGCAGATGTCTCCTGGCAACTATGAATGCGCCCTTGTTTAACGCGGAAAGCGAAAGCCAAGTGATTTTGGAGACCCTTAGCAGAGAAAATGGTTCTTGCAGTGGACGAAAAGCTGATGAGTTTAGCAAGGCGTGGCTCTCTCCCCGGAGGCCGGTTTTCCTACAAACAGCCATAGCTGAAAGTTCTGGGCGGCCCCTGGGCGGCGCACCGGCTTGCACAGGCCGGCGGGCCGGCAGGGCAGGCAGAGCGCGCGGTGTCAGAGCTCCCCAATCCAAGAAAGCGAATAACCGCCCTGCAAGGCGGGAGCTGAGCGCATCCCCAGGGGCTGGCACCGCCCTCCCAGATCACAGTACTGGACAGTAGGGGCGCCTGCGGCTTGCCGCCTGTACCCTCGGAGCGCCGCGGGGAGTTCTCCCCACAAGCCCCGCACTTACTCTTGAAGGCGATGCCCGCGTTGTTGACCAGAACGTTGAGACCCCCGTACTCCTTGCGCAGGAAGTCGCGCAAGGCGCGGATGCTCTGTAGGTCGTCGATGTCCAGCTGGTGGAAGCGCGGGCTCAGGCCCTCGGCCTGCAGCTGCTGCACCGCTGCCCGGCCCCGCGCTTCGTCGCGTGCGGTGAGCACCACGTCCCCCGAGAATTGCCGGCACAGTTCACGGGCGATGGCGAAGCCTATGCCCTTGTTGGCTCCGGTGACCAGGGCCACGCGGCTGCAGGACGACATGGCAGGGTGGGCAGCGCGGGACACCTGTGTGGAGAGCGGACCTGACAGCGGACCACCCCGGGTACGCGCTTCGGAGCCGGGCCAGGGTCGGAGCAGAGGCGCAGATCTAAGATCTGGGGTCCAGTGCTGCGACTCCTAGAGAACAAGGCCCCCGGAGCCGGTCCCTCCCCTCTGAGGAGGGGCTGTCTGATCCTGAAGTTTCGTAACGCCCCAGCTTGCGGGTCCGCCTCCTCCCGGCGCTGGGGTTTTGATCCAGGCTCTGCAAAGAGAGGCGATCTGCGAGACTGCTCGCCTCTAAGCCACACCGGTCCGCGGTGGGTCAGTAGCGAGCTGCGGGTTCTTAGCAGCTGGACCGAAGCAACTATTTCGGAAGTACTCCAAAGACAGAAAAACAAGTGCTGAGTAATTTTCTTGGGCGTGAGCCCATTATCCATTGCAAAATGCAAATGTTCGCTTTGCCTAACGCGCAAAGAAAATACTTAGACATAGTAACTGCTTCTGCACACAACGATCCTCTGGCTCGCTCCGGAGAGAATTAGCGAAGAGAAGTTCCGTAAGTAGACAGGTGTGGCGGGCTGCACCGCTCTGTGAGCCCCTGTGCGCCCTCAAGTGGGAGAGAATGTTTACTGAGTGCCAGATCCTTTATAGGAATGTTTTATTTAATCCTAACGTACCTTGGTGGTGTAAAGTCTGCCTTTAGCTTTGTTCAAGGAGGATATATCTCTACGAGTCATCTCCAAAGAGATCTAGATCCATCTGCGTTTTCCCTCCCAGTCAGATCTGTGCATCCACCAACAAAATCAAAGGCGTGGCAAGGTGTGCGTGCAATTAGAGCTCCACCCATCTTCTTCAGTGTAATCCTAGCCTGTTTGGTGACTTCCAGATGGGGAGATGGTTGTGATCTCATCGTGACTCAACTTTTCCCAAGCCCAGCTGGCCAAACTGCCTGGTGCCTTTGTTACCCTGACTCCACCCTCTCTATAAAGCCAATACCAGAGGTCAGGAAGGTGGGCACTTGCTGGTCTAACCCAGTATATAATTTTTTTTTCCTCTTGAAGATTAAAAAAGTTTAAGGTTTTCTACCAGTTTGATTTTTTGTTTGGCTAGTTGGTTGCTGTGAAAGGGGTCTCGCTCAGTTGCCTACTACATTGGCCCCACACTCTGAGGCCCAGATGATCCTCCGGAGTAGCAGACAGGTGCACTCGGCCATACCTGGCCTTTCTTTTTGTCTCTGATCTCTCTGGCTTAAAGTTTAACTTTTTCTCCCCTTTCAAGGAACCACCTTTTGGTTTTATTGATCTTTTTTTCTCCATTTTTTTCCTGACTATTTTGATTTCTGTTCTGATCTTTCTTTTTATGTGCTCAGTTGGGTTTTATTTGCTCTTCAGTCTCTTACGATGGAGGCTGGGATTATCGATTGGAGACATGTCTAATATGAGCATTATGAACTGTTTCCTTTAAAGTACTATTTAGTGGAATCCCACAAATATTGAACATGTTGTTTTCAGTTTTGTTCAGTTCAAAATACTTTCTAATTTACCTTTTGATATCCTCTTTGACCAACAGTATTTAGAAGTGCTTTTTTTTTTWAAAAAAATTAAATTTCCAAGTTGTTCAGGATTTACCAGTTATCTTGCTGTTGCTGACTTCTAACTTAATTCCACTGTGATCAGAGAACGTACTTTGACTAATTAAATTCTTTTTTTAAAGAGTTTCAAAACAACCAGGTGCAGTGACACATGCCTGCAATCCCAGCTGCTCCGGGGAGGCTGAGGCTGAGGCTGAGGCTGAGGCTGAGGCTGAGGCTGAGGCAGGAGACTCACGTCAGCCTAGAAGTTTGGGGCCAGTGCAGGTAGTGAGACCCCCATCTCTTAAAAAAGAAAGTAGTTTCAAAAACTGATAGACATTTTTTTTTCTTCTCATAGACATATTAAAGCATGTTTTATGTAAAGGCAATAATCTCAGAGAAAGGTGATGTTGGTGAAGGAAAGACAGTAATTGTAACAATAAACTTTGTGGGAAGATCAAGTGGAGGGACCCAGGACCAGGCGGGCGAGRCCGGGCGGCGGGGCGGCAGGGCAGCTTTCCTCTTGCAGCACAGTGAGTGGGGTGGTCACAGATGTGCCCTGGGGGCATCTGTTAGTTCTTGGAAGATTGAGAAAGTTGAGTCATCATTGAGAAAGATTAGTTTGGGAGATTTAGGAGCAGGACAGTCATTTTGCAGAGTAGTAAAGTGATTTATTAGGCAGCGTCCAGACTCTGAACCCAGGACCCATGGGATCTGTGGTCCTGGAGATCAAGAAAGCTGGGTCAGCCTCCTGATCCTCCCACTCTCAAATGTCCAGCTGCTAGTGCAGCGGGGTACAGTGGTTACATTATAACAGGGGAGGTGTCTGCAAGGAAAGGACTGGAGTGCAGAGTCATGGCCACTGGGGGGAGAAGGAAGGATGTGATGGCACTGGAGCTTGGTAAGGAAGGGAGGCAGGAAGCCTAAAGGAATGGAGGTCTCCAAAGGAAGGGATCCTGGGGGACAGCACTGAGACCAGAGCTAAGCCAACTATCTTGGTCCATTTTCTGTTGCTATAACAAAATCTGGGTTGGGAAATGAATAAAGAAAAAAGGTTGATTTTATTCACAGTTCTGGCAGTCCAAGATTGTGGTACTGGTATCCATTCAGCTTCTGATGAGGGCCTTGTTCTGTGAATCATGACAGAGAATTGGAAAGGGGAAGCAGGTGCTACTGGGAGGAGCTTGTGTGTACAGGATAGTGAGGGGAGATTCTGTTTCCATAAAGCAGCCTGGTCTGATGATGCTGGCCTCATTCTTGTGAGAGCTACATTAATCCCTGAAGAGGTAGAGCCCCCCCACCMCCACCACCAAATTACCTCTTAAAGGGCCCACCACCTCTCAACACCACTACATTTCAACATGAGTTCGGACAGGGATAAACGAACTCAAGCCACAGCAGTTAGTTTGAGATGATGTAGGGTGTGGCCAGCCCTACTCACATTCATTGTTGAAGGGTTGTGGGGGGTAGTTTGGGAATTCTGTTGATCATAACAATGGTTCCAAAATTTTGCATATTGCAATCCCTGGAGATTTTTTTAAAATATTAAGTGTTGAACCAGATACAGTGGCTTACACCTGTAATCCCAGCGGCTCAGGAGGCTGAGGCAGGAGGATCATGAGTTCAAAGCCAGCCTCAGGAACTTAGTGAGGCCCTAAGCAACTTAGTGAGACCCTGTCTCAAAACAAAAAATAAAAAGGGATGGGGATGTGGCTCAGTATTTAAGCGCCTAGGTTCAATCTCTGGTACCTCCCCCCCGCCAAAAAAAAAGTCTGCACTGATACCTGGCACACGTCCCGGGTATTGTGATGTGATTGGTTAGGGGTTTGACAGAAGGACTGGTGAATTCAACATGCAGCAGAGTTTGAGAGCACTGGGTTAAAGGGACAAGGTTACTGGATAAAAATGACATCCTCTTCAAAAGAGCTGGGGTCTTTGAAAGACAAGAGAAAGGGTTTGGAAATGTCACAGGTTTCTGTGGCAGATAGGAGAGTGCCCTCCTGCAAAACACCTGTCCCCAGGGTGGTGACAGTGGCTTCACTTTGCAGATGTGACTGAGGATCCCTGACCTGGGGAAGCCCCAGGCTATCCAGGTGGGTCCAGTGTCGTCACAAGTCTCAAAGAGTAGAAGACACGAGGGTCAGACAGAGAGTGACCAGGGAGGCAAGACCTGTGCTGCCGGCCTCGATGCTGCAGGGAGGGGTTTTGATCCGGAGGATGCAGGTGGCCTGGGGAAGGGTTCCTTTCCCACAGCCTCCAGAGGGAGTGAAGCTGCCTTGACCCTGCACTTTGGGACTCCCGACATCAACAACTGCATTTGCTGTAAGCCACTGATTTGGGGTTAATGTACTGGGGCAGCATCAGGAATGAGCTCAGTTATCAGGGAGGATTTCTGTGTCACACCCAGGGCGGGGAAACCATTCCCTTGTCCCAGTGCAGGCTGGACAGATGGTTGGGATTACTAGCTAATATTTCAGAAAGGGAGAAATGCCCGGATTTTCTGAGGGATGAGGAAGAATGAAATAAAGGGGAGAAGCTGTCTGACATCTGCTGCTCCCAGCTTTGCCACTTACTCACTGTATGACCTTCCTGGTCTCTCGGTGCCTCCGGTTACTCATCTGTAAAATGGGAATAATTACAGTGCCAACTCTTATGACTGCTGCAAGGATTAAGTGAGTTCATATTACAAAAGTGCTTAGGGCAGTGTTGTCTCATGGTAACTCACAGTTAATCCCCCTCTTATATTCTTTGCAAAGGAAGACAGTCAACTACCTAAAACCAATATGTTTGTTCGTTTACAGCTACTTATTGATGTCTTCCCAGTTTATAGGACCTGTGCTAGGAAGTCATGACTGGGCCAGTTTTAATTTGCTAGAGGTAGATAACAGGCAGGGGAGGGAGGAGAAGCTGGTCCCGCCTCACCTTACAGGAAGCACTATTGTGTTGTTATAAGACAGCCGGGTTGCTGCAGGCAGGTCTGGGCAGGAATGGAAGCAAGATGAAGGTCAGGTTCCCGAGTCAGAAGGAAAGATGGACAGACATCTTGGTAACTCCCCACTTCCCTTCTCCATCCCCTGTCCTTCCCTGCCTGTCCTTCTTAGGGCTGGACCATTAGGTGAGTTAGATTCAGGACAAAGGTGTTGAGTGCCATGGAGGGGACAGGGAGAAGCGAGTCCTGGTGCCACCTCACTGAGCTGTCTCCCGTCTGCCTGAGGGCTTCAGTGAGGCCATCCCTGGCCTCAGCAGGACTGAGCAGGCAGGACAAGCAGACGTGTGACTCTTCTTGAGGACACTCTGGTGACTATCCCTTTGGTGTCCTGGGTTGGTTTCTGGCCTTTAGGTTCAGAGTGACTCAGGGAAGAGGGAGCTTGTGGTTATAATTGCTGCTGTCTTGGAGGAAGATGTTCTCTCTGCCAATGTGACACAAACCAGTTTCAGTGTGCTGTCTGCAAGCCTGGGCTCCGTGCCCAAAGGAAAATTGGCCAAGTCTATGGCAGCCTGGAGAGGGGACCCCAGGAGGCATGGATCCTTAGGACCTAACAGGCTGCGGAAGCCCCTGAGCCAGAAAACATGGGTTCAAGGGTCCTTTATCTGTCCCTAGGACACAAGCCACTGATCTTTGCGAAGTCTGCTTTTTTAACCCTTAGCTTGGAAAAGTACTGTCAC